TGGGTGCTCTCTGAAGCTCTCTGAATCCTATAGTTTAGGAATTTTGATGGAGATTTCATTATGTTGGCATGTTGGTTAAATCACGGGCCATTGGTGATTAATTCGTAATCTCCAGTGTCTCCTCCCTCCCTGGAGGCGAGGGACTGGGGCTAAAAGTTATAACTGACTAACCACCTCGTTGGTTCCTCTGGCAACCAGCCCCTGTCCTGAAGCTAGCTAGGGGCCCACCAAGAGTCATTTCATTAGCATACATTTAGGTATGGTCCGAGGGCCTTATTATGCATAACAAAATATGGTCCTCTCTCCCCATCACTCAGGAAATCCCAAGGGTTTTAGAAGCTCTTGTGTCAGGAACTAGGGATGAAGATTAAATACATATGGCCAATTACATCACATTTTTATTTCTTTTTATTGCCTCATTATACTGGCTGGAACCTCCAGTACAATATTGAATAGAAGTGGTAAGAATATACATTCCTGTCTTGTCCCGAATTTGTTAAAATTTATTTGAGAGAGAGAGAGACAGAGCTTGACATGAGCAGGGGGAGGGGCAGAGGGAGACAGAGAGGGGAAGTAGACTCCTTGCTGAGCACAGAGCCCCACATGGGGCTGGATCCCAGGACCCTGAGGACAAGACCTGAGCCTAAATCAACCGGTTAACCTACTGAACCCCTTGTTCCTAATTTTAAGGGGAAAGTAGTCTCCCTTTCAACATTAAGTATGATGTTAGCTGTAGGTTTTTCATATGTGACTTTAATCAAGTTGAGAAAATCTTCTGTTCCTATTTTACTCAGTGGTTTTATTATGAATGTATGCTAAATTTTGTCTGTTGCATTTGCTATGTCTATTGGGATGGTTTTCCTTTTTTAGTTTGTTAATATAGTGAATTGCATGTATTGAATTTCTAATGTTAATCCAACTTTGCATTCCTGGGGTAAAGCCCATTTGGTCATATGTATTATCCCATTTAGATATGATGAGATACTGATTTTCTGAAGTTTTATCCAGGATCCCCAATGAATCTATATTCATAAAGAATATTGGCCTGTCATTATAATGTTCTATAAAATGAATTGGGAAGGTACTCACACCTTTTCAATTTTCTGAAAGAAAACTTGTGTCCAGTTTTATTATATATTTCTTAAAAGTTTGATAGAATTCACCAGTGTAGCCATCTGGGCCTGAAGTCTGTGGGAAGTTTTTTTAAACTATAATTAAATAATTAGTTATATATAGAGCTACCTCATTTATCTATTTATTGTTGGGTTAGCTTTGATAGATTGCCTTTCATAAGATTGTCCATTTCATCTGATTTATCAACTTTCCTGGAATAAAGGTGTTCTTAATATTCTCTTACTATCCTTTTACTATCTTTAGAATCTGTACTGATTTACCTCTGTCATTCTTTGTATTAGTCATTTCTGTCTTATCTTTGTCCTGATCGGCTTTGCTAGAGATTCTAGTGTTTTTCATTTTCTTAGGGAACCAGCCTTCAGTTTTATTAATTTTCACTATTACCTATCTGTTTTCTATTTCATTGATATAAATTGTCAAAGAAAAATCAGAATCAAAAACATTTTATTCAGGATTATTGCAGTAAGGGAAAGGAGTCCTAAGTATAAGAACCAGGCTTAATTCAGAATATAGCATGTGCAAGTTGGAATTTATAGTCAAGGAGCAAGGTGAAGGGCAGTGGATGGAAAGTTGCTAAGAGGGACACCAGGTATAGTGGAAGATTCTAGTTAGACTGACTGAACAGGATTCTTTGCTGAAGACAGCCCAGGGTGAACACACCTCACTTGAGGGAGGGTGGAAGTTGAGGAACCCTACCAGGGATGGAGGGTAACCAGATATCAAGGGTGGGAGAGTCTGGTTAAACTGACTTTGAAGGGTTCTTGCTGAAACTGGGGTTTACAAGGAAGTACACGAGTGGGCCTAAGAGAAGGAGCTCGACTCAGGCTTTGTCCAGGAAAAATCTTCGTCAACAATCTGATCTCTATTATGTTCTTTTTTCTTCTTACTTTGGGTTTCATTTGCAACTAGACATTCATTTGTCTAGTTCGTTAAGATAAAGGTTAGTAATTGATTTAAGACCTTTCTCTTTCTTCCTCCCTCTCTCCCTCCCTCTCCCCCTTTCTCTCTTATCTCCTGCATTGGGGGCCTTGGGGATTAAGTGGTTTTTCTATGCCAGCATGCCCTTTGCAAAATAAGAGCCATCCGGGGTTTCTGAATGGATGGGGGGGGCTCAGTCAGTTAAGCGTCTGCCTTTAGCTTAGGTCATGATCCCAGGGTCCTGGGATCGGGCCCCGCATCGGGCTCCCAGCTCAGCTAGGAGTCTGCTTCTCCCTCTCCCTCTGACCTTCCCCGCTGCTTGTGCTTTCTCTCTCTCTCTCTCAAATGAATAAATAAAAAAATTTAAAAAAAATAAAATAAAGAGAACCAACTGTATTATTATCCCCAGATGATAAAGCTGAGGCACAGAGATACTAAGAAATGAGCCCAGGATCACATGGCATGGCAAGGGGTATAGCTGGGATTTGAACCCAGGGCTGTTTGGCTTCAGAACTTACACTCCTCGCCTCTACACCATTCTCCTTCTTGTAGCATGAGGGGATCCTGGGTGTCAGGCCTCCTTGATGGTCAGGGTTGGGGGTTGGAATCAGCCTGCCCCCTGGAAGACCAGATGCCTCTAAGCCTCCCAGCCCCTGAGGGATTATGGTATTCTGGAATGGCAAGTCAAACTGGTAGTGTCTCAGCCTCCTTGCAGAGTGGGGGTAGTGGGTCAGAGTTTCTTCATAATATCAGAGCATCCTGGGGCAATCAGGCTGTCCTGGATGGCCCGGCAGAGTTTCCTTGTAGGGTTAGGGTATCTCGAGGCTGCAGGATGTTTCGGAATTCAGTGTTTGCTTGTATCCAAGCTGACTACTTGTTACTGGGTCTTAGGAGGTCAGGATGCCCTGGGGCTCGGGTTGCTCCAGGACATCACAGTCTACACTGGGGCTGGGGGAGAAAGGTGGGTGTCTTGGATCAATGCTGCTCAGCTTTAATACGGTTATGGACTAAATGTTTTCGTCTTCCCCACCTCCATTCATATGTTGAAGCCCTAACGCCTGTGTGATGGCATTTGGAGGTGGGGCCTTTGATCGGAGTTAGACCCCAGTGATGGGATTAGTATCCGGACAGGAAGAAGAAGAAAGATCAGAGGTGGTTCTCTCTCTGCCACGTGAAGACACAGAAGGCATCTGTCTACAACCTGGGAACAGAGTCTTCACCAGGACCCGAATCAGCTGGCCCCTCGACCTTGGACTTTGCACTTCCAGAACTGTGAGAAATAATTGTCTACTGTGGAAGCCACCCATCCTTGGGTATTTTGTTACGGAAGCCTGAGCTGATGAAGAGAAATGTACATTCATTTCTCCCAGGGGTTTTGTTACAATGCAGATTCTGGTCCAGTAGGACAAAGGGGGCACTGCTGAGTTCTGCATTTATAACAAGCTCTCCTGTGCTGCTGGTGCTGCTGATTGTGGGCCATATTGGAAACATCAAGATCCTAGAGGATTTTTTTTTTTTTTGGTCTTAAATTGTCAGGGTGCTTTTAAAGGTTGTGTGTGAAAGATTAGCATGACCTAGGGATCCAGATTGTCCCTTCCAAGAGGGGCAGGGTGTCCTCATTGGGTCAGTGTGTCCTGAGAGGTTAGGACCTCATGGCAAGGTCAGGGGTATCTTCTAGTAGAGGCAGAACATTCTGATTTCAGTGTGTCCTAGAGAATCCTAGAGTCCTGGGGTATCAGGTTGTCTTTAAAGGGTCAGGATGCCCTACAGGTGTCAGAATGGACTTTTTGGGTCTAAGTAATCTCAAGAAGCAGAATACTGTGGGTGTCAGGGTATCCTTCTGGGTGCTACAAGGTTTCCTTGAAGAATCGGAATGTCAGGATGTGGTGGGACTCTCAATCTCCTGCAGAGTCCACAAGTCCAAGGGGTCAGGATGCACCTGGAATTCCAATGCTCTTTGAGGGTCAGGGTTTTCTGAATGTCTGGGTGACCTTGGAAGGTCACGGAGTCCCCGGGGTCTGAGTGAACGAGGAGGTGATGTTTGGGGGAAGAAAGCAGACCATACTTGAGAACTGCAGTGTCCTGCTGGACATTCATTCTGTGGTTCAGGTTGTCCTGTGGGGGTGGGGGTGGGGTACATCTAGTATATTCTCAGAATCAGGGCATCTAGAAGGGGCCAGAATGCACGGATGTCTTTTAGTTTTTTAGTTTCTTGGAAACAGGTCCTTGGATATCACCCACATGCTGAGATGCCAGGCAGGCCCTGCTCCTGGCCTGCATTTGCACCCCCTTTCCCCAAGGTGGGGTTCTGAGGAAGGGTCTTAGGAGGAATGCATTTACTTCTTATCCTGCCTGCTCCCAGGAGGGGATTTAACAGGACAAAAGAACTTGGTCCTCTGGGAATACGAGCTCTTGGCCCCAGTCCCTGGACCCTCCAACTGAGCACCTTCCCTCATCCGGCTTGTGATCCTCCCCTGAAGAAGGGGGCTCTGGTGGCCAGGCAATGATTGGACGGGCCCCCAGGGGCGAGGAGCAGGTCACTCCTCCAAGGCTCAGGGAGAAGGAGGTGGTGTGGGATTGCAAGCTGGGAAAGTAGGCAGCTGAGAGCAAAGGGATAGGACGGCATCACGGAGACAGGGAGCGGGAGACAGGGGGCAGGCAGCGGGAAGTTGAGGCACGAACGGAGAAACAGGGTCCGGGCAAGGCAGAGAGAATGCAATGATACTCAGGCAAAGGAAGGGGGTATTAGAAAAAAATTTAGAAAAAAGGAGAGACAGTGAGAAAGGCCAAGACATCTATCTGTATCTACATCCACGCATAGAGCCAGAGGTATAAACAGAGGGAGAAGGAGGCGTGGAGGGGAACCGACAGACCAGAGAAAGACTGACCCAGGAGCAGAGACTTGGGGACACGGGAGACGGGACTGTCTTAGGTCTTTGTTGTTAGCCATGGAAGCGGAAGGCAGGAGTGAGCAGGGTAAGCACAAGAAGGGGCGACTTTGCAGCAGCCTCTGGCCCCAGAGCTACCCCGCCCCTGGGACTCTGACCTCCACGGTGGGTGAGTGAATCTCTGGGCTGGTTCTGAGGCAGCAGGTGGGGTGGCCGTGAGGGGTGGGGGCTCCATGCTTAGGCTCCTGGGGGGGCAGTGGTTCCCCACGAGGAAGGTGAGGAGGGGGCATAAAAAAGCAGAATCCGAGAATGCTAAAACCTCGGGCATCTCAGAAAGCATGGGGAGGGACAAGTCCTGGGCTTCGCAGACAGGACCCGCAGATGGGACCCGAGCATGGACGGGCTGCTGAACAGCACCCGCGGGGGGGGGGGGGGGGTAGGTGAAGCTGAAATCCAGCTCCTCCTCCTGAGCTCCCAGGTCGCCCACCGCATGGCCTCCTCGGAGGTGGGCAGCTGCAGGGGCCAGGGCTTGGGATCCCCTGTGACCAGCGGCTCCACGCATGTGTGTCCCCCAGGTGGACAGGGAGCGCTGGGTGGGAGCCACACCCTTGGTCCCCATGGGGATGGGTGCCTCAGCTCCAGACATCTCCTTTTCACAGTGTGTGCCTTCCAGGTGTTTCCTTTCGCTCCGTGTTCTCCCTTCCCCGGCTGGCTCTCAGACTAATTAGTGTGGGGGCTTAGTGAGCCTGTGGGGAGGAGAGGCAAGCCTTTCCCACGAGCTCAGGTTCCTGCAGCCCGGCGGCCGGGCCAGGGCCAGGGCCAGGGCCGGGGTAGGCGAGAAGGCGAAATGCGTGTGAGGGGAGGGTGGGCCTGAGCGGAAGAGGGAGGGATGTTTCATCTGCCCAGCTGGAGGGCCTAGGAGGGCGGGAGCAGTCTCCAGAAGGCGTGCGCTGAACGTGAGCCTGGAGAGCCGGGAACGGGGGTGGGGGTGGGGGGTCGTAGAGACCCGGACAGAGGAGCCCCACGGGGTGAGACCCGGGAGGCTAGTCCACGTGCCCAGAGAGGGGCGCCCGGTGCCGGGCATGTTCCGTGGCCGTGGGCGTTCAGTGAAGGGAGGCAGACAGGGCCCCAGGGCGTGAAGTGGGGCTGCCCAGCGTGTGTGGAGAGCAGAGCGCGGGTTAGGGCCCTGCGACGGGCGGCGGGGCGAGGCTGAGCGGCGTTCCCCGCCTGTGAGAGCCGAAGGGTTTCTGGTCGGGGCAGAGTGTGTAAGCAGCAGCGGGGCGCCGAGGAGAACGGGGGGCACAGGTGGGTCCACTCCGCACAACCTCTGCCCTCCCCTCCATCCTCAGACACGAGCCCTCGGCCCTACAGGAAGCTCTCTGGTGCAGGAGTGCGGAGAGCAAGGCTTTCCCCCGAAGGAGGACAGAGGGGTCGCCCCCACTCCCGGCGCCGCCACCGTACCACCTTCAGTCCGGCCCAGTTGGAGCAGCTGGAGACAGCCTTTGGGAGGAGTCAGTACCCCGACATTTGGGCCCGAGAGGGCCTGGCCCGCGACACAGGCCTCAGCGAGGCCAGAATCCAGGTGATGCCCCGGGATCCCCCTCCTCTTCTGGGAAGAGATGCAGATTTGGCTCTGGAACTACTGGGGTCTAAATTCTCCCAGGCATTACAGCCGTCCCCTCAGCGTTCCCAGAACACAGCCTCATCTGCATCGGGGATGTCCCTGGAACTGAACCCACGCTCTAACCTGGTCTAACTGGAGTTTCGACACCCTACCCGCAACCTTAACAGGGATGGGAATTCCAACAGAAATATGATCTTAACTGTTGGCATGCATACGTAGCCTTTCCCCTAACCATGGCCTTGAAACCCAGCCAGCCTGATGCTCCGTCCATCCGAACCATCGAGGTAGTTAATCTTAGGTGCAAACCCTACCCTAAATCCAGCCCCGTCTCTAACCGTTAAACTCATGTACGGTCTTAATCTCTAATAACCCTCGGGGACGTTTCCTGTTCTCTGTGGAGGGAAAAATGCCATTGTGTCATAATTGAGCTCTCTCTCGTGGGAAGTTGCCATTTCGGACTCCCCCAGATTTGCAGTGGAACAAATTTAGACACAGGTTGGGGGTGACGGTGTGGGTCTCGCTTTGTGAGGAGGCCCAGCTCAGCTGTGCCTCTGGGAAGAGCTTTCCTTCCTCTTCGGTGTGGGAGAGGCTTATGCTAGGTACCTGAAGCTTCTGTCATCGACGGGGAGGGGGCTCTGACGTGACAGGGCCCCCATATGAGAGAGAGGCTCTGACGTGGCTGTTCTCCCCCTTCCTCAGGTCTGGTTCCAGAACCGCAGAGCTAAGCAGAGGAAGCAAGAGCGGTCGCTGCTCCAGCCACTGGCCCATCTGTCTCCTGCCACCTTCTCTGGTTTCTTGCCCGAGTCCCCTGCTTGCCCCTACTCCTACCCAACACCGCCTCCACCCATGACCTGCTTCCCTCACCCCTACAACCATGCCCTTCCCTCTCAGCCCTCCACCGGCGGTTCCTTTGCTCGACCCCACCAGCCTGAAGACTGGTACCCCGCCTTGCACCCAACCCCCGCTGGCCATCTGCCCTGCCCCCCACCCCCAACCATGCTTCCCCTCAGCCTTGAGCCACCAAAGTCCTGGAACTAAGGTGGGACAGGTGCTGATAAGGTAATTCCCCCAGCCTGTGGCCCTGGTGAAATGCACAGAAAGCTGGGTGGCTTCCCTTCCTTCCAAGGGTCAAGTCGAAATTTGGTGAGAGGCAGCTCAGAGATCGGGAATTTAGAAATGGGAGGTCCTGCTGAAGAAGGCCCACTGAGGTGATTAGTTGAGGGAATTTAGGGAGGTGAACCTTCTAGAAGATAGAGGTAAAAAGCCTCAGTGGTGGTGTCCGGTGGAAGGGTGGATATTGATGGAAGCAACTTGAGTAATTGTTGCTGCTGGTGAATGGAAGTGACTGAACATGATAGAACTTTCGGGGCTTCGCTGATTAAGATCACAGTTGGAAGATCTTCACCCAGCGGTTTCTAGCTGATTTCAATAAGGCTTTTGATTCAAAGTCCACCTGTTCACCCTTTCCCCGTCACCCACCCCACCACCCAAATCAGTCATTAACTTTTGTTCATTAATGTTCTACAAATACATCTTGAATTTCTTTCTCTCTTTTCCATTCTAGCAGACACTTTGCCTTTTCCGACCCCCTGTCTTCTAACTAATCCTCCTCAGTGGCTCCCTTAGTCCAGCCTTTCCCATTGCCAACAGGACCCTGCAAATCTGATCACCACAGAACAGCTCTCCAATGTCTTACAAACAATAAATAAGATCTGAGTCTTCGACATGACTTTGAAATCGACTGCATGTCATAACATATGTGGTTTCTATTAGAGAAGAAACCATTTGATTCAGGGCTGACTTTTCCAAATGCCAACCATGAGTCTTAAGGCTCGCAAGAGGTCATTCCCAGGAAAGAACCTGCCGTGAAGTGCCTTGGTCTGAGCCCTCCTGGCAGAAACGTGGTGCAGCCTTGTTGTGGTACCACTTACATATCAAAAGGCTTATAATGTACTTATTTACTCATAATGGGCTTACTTACATGTAGGCCCACCTCACTTATCGGTAGGCCCATAGAAAAATTCTGAGTGAACAAGCCCCTAGGGATGGGCATTCCATGTTATTTATGGAATTTTACATTTTTAAAAGTCTGGAGCCAAAACCTCTGTGCTGTACCTTTGCCCTCCCATTGAATGATCTCCTTGGGCCAGGCTGCCTTCCAGAAACATTACACCAGCCTCCAAAATTCCCCGAGTGTTGGCTTCAGCACGTCCTTGTTGCCCTGTACCATTTTGACGCTCTTGTCCACTGAGAGTGATGTCTCCTTGTTGCTTATTTGTAAGCTTTCATTTACTCAGTTGCTAGTGAGAGGTAAAATAGTTTCATGTTTATTGGCAATTTGTAGGTTTCCTGCCTTGCTTCTTGGAGGTATCTGTGTATTTGTTTATTGGTAGAGTCATTTTTTTATTAGTGATTGAGAGCACTTTGTGCAGTAGGGACAGAAATATCTATTTAGATGTGTTGCGGCTGTTTTTGGCTATTTCTGTTACTTGTGTTCTAGCCTTTCTGAGCAAGGCTTTCCTGAGAGAATTAAGCTGTAGGTACCTGTCATGTGTAACTTCTGTTTTCAGCACCTGGAATGCTACCAGTTAGGTAGAATTGGTAGAACTTGAGAAAGTATTCACCCTGTTCATTCTCTGTGTTGTGTGGTTTGGATGAGGAACCCCAGCGGAGACCTCTCCCCTTGTTTTTACCAGCTCCACCCACATTTTCTCCACTGTTTGGATCAAAGTGTTACACTTGAATCATCTGAACTTTATTTTAGGATGCACAGTCATGCCAAGTAGTCATGTAATTTCCTCTCAACCTGCTAGCCAGTCTTACCGGTGTAACGTTGATTTGCAAAGTCCTGCTTTTTCACACACTAAGTTCTCCTTTATACACAGGACCGCTGTAGACGCCTGGTTCTTTTCCATCAATTAGCTTGTCTCTTCTGGCACCACCACCACCATCGGGTTTTCATTATGCAAAATTTAAGGATTGTTGATATCTTTAAAATCTTAAATCGTCTTATCCAAACACAGATGTGTCCTGTCATTTTTTCCAGACTCTTCTTATGTCATTCAGGAATTGCATGCATATACCTAAAACAAATCTTAATAGGAGTTCTATAAATTACAAAAATAATATATACTCTTTGTAACAAGTCTACTCAATGTAGCATATATATAACATATATGACAGTATATTTATATGTATATTAGCCTGGATTAACCACAAAAGCCTTATGCTGAGCAAAAAAACGTTTTTTTCCCCCAGAAAAGTACCTTCACTGTATCATACCATTTATATAAAGTTTTAACGGTGCAAAATGATTTTAAAAATGATAAAAATTTAAATGCATATTAGGATGCATATATATTAAGTAAAAACTGAAGACCGGCAGTTTCTGGAGGACGTTTGCACCCTACGGGCCCCTTCTCTCTGCTCACCTGGGAACCCCGGTGCCTCCAGTGTGGGAGAATGACCTGGCAGGATGGAGCCTTCGGGGTTAACATGGCATCACAGAGGCCTGGCAGGTTTTCTTGTAAAGCCCAGGTGGAAGGGCAGGGTGCACCTCAACTCTTCTCCTTTCCCTGTCCTCCCTTCTCGGTAGAAGAGATACTCTTAAAACTGGCAGAGGGTTGGAAGCTGCCCCAGTTGGGAATTAAAGAAAAGAAAAGGGCGAGCTCAGCTGGCTGAGTCAGTAGAGCATGTGACTCTTGATCTCAGGGTCGTGAGTTCGAGCCCCATGTTGGGTGTAGAGATTACCTAAAAAATAAATGAATAAACTTTAAAAAAAAAGAAAAAGAACTGTCCTTCAAGCAGTAACAGCCCCTCCCACCTCCCCGCCAACCAGAGGGGAGATGCAGCTACACGAGGGAGAAAAGATCAGGGATTCATCTTTGCGTTGTGAAATCAAAATACCTGGTCTTTCAGGAAGATTCCCAGCAGGATCCAAATCCCAGTTTAGAAAACGGAAGCACTTGGAGCATGAAAAGGGGCGTGGGGAAGTTCTGGGGTTGCCTGGCCGGGCGCGTGGCTCCAGGGCACGGAGTGATGCACTGCCAAAGACCCAGGGGCTGGACCGCAGAGTCCCCGGCGCCGCCGCGAGGGGACTGCGAGGCTCGGTCGCGAAGACCCCTGTGGTGGGGCCTGGGAGCGCGCGGGGAGAGCACAGGCAGTGCGCACGCGGGGTCCAAGCGGGCCCCTGCGGGCGGCAGGTGCGGTCTACGCAACCTGGGCGACTGGCGATCGCAATTTAACAACCGGGCGTAAGAAAGCAGAGGTTGTGAAACATTCAGCTGCCGTGAGAACCCTCGATTGCCAGGAGCATTCCAGGGAGGGACCGGCTGGAACCGGCAGGACGCCAGGTCGGGGCCGCTTCCGGCGCCACCGGCCTCAGCTTACCCTGGAGCTCGGAGCTCGAGGGCAGTGCGTTTCCACAGGCTTCACCCCTTCTCGGCGGGAGTTTGGCGCATCGCTGGCCTGTGGGCCGTCTGGCCAGCGCACACCGTACCTGGCCGCCTTGCAGGATGCAGCTCTCAGGCTCAGAGTTCGCAGGCCCCGAAACATGGCCAGCGCGTCACCCCTGACAGCAAGTCTTGAGAAGACTTTACAGGCGCATTTTCAGTTTTCCTTCAGAATGGGGACGCCTGGCTCCCGAGATTGGCAAGAGGACAAGTGAAGACCAGACCCCTGCTCAATGCTTGCCTGACATCTCTACCAGCCCCTGTTCCTTCCTGTACCACGAAAGACCTCTCCAGTTCGAGGGCATACTCAGACTGCACGTCAAGGTGCCGTCTACACCACTCACCCACACAAACAGCGCCCCCCTTTGGCTCCCTGGGGACCAAGGCTCAGCCTGCCTTTGGGAGGATGGAACTGGGGAATACATCTTGCAGACCCTATAAAGGGGATCAGTGCCGTTCAGGCAGGGAATCACCATACTGGGGGATCTGGGTATGAGACCTAATTGGGAAAAGGGGCCGGGACTGGGACCCTGAGAACTTCTCACCAGGTGGAGGGGGACCAGAGAGGGCCCTCCAAGTGCTGGGCCCACACTAGGGGCCAGGTGCCAGGCTCTCAGATTGTACTGGGTGGGTGTCCCCCCACCCAGGAGCTTATCAGACCTCTCACTATTTTCCAAGTTTTCCCAGTACCCTTGGAATTAAAACCCCCACTCTCTCTTTGCTGAGCTAGGTGCAAAAGGTGAGCCCAAAGTCCCAGTAACAAGAGGGGCTCTGAGAATTTGCCCCTTTTGTATTTGGGTAGTTAGTTTCAGAATTTTCCAAGTTCCTGCTCCACTGAGGTCCCTCTTCCCTTCCCTCCCACCAGCCCCTGAGATTTACCCCCTTAACACTGGGCATCTAAAGGATGCCCAATTAAGAAGCCCAAGTGGGATCAGGGTAGGGGTCAGCTCCACAGGGTGACTCATTGAGGGTGAGTGTGTGTGTGTGTGTGTGTGTGTGTGTGTGTGTGTGTTTGGGACTGCAGTGTCTGAATAGGCCTAGGAGGCCACATGGCCAAAGGCTTTGGGGTTTAGAGTACTCAAACCGTGCCCTTATCAATTTATTTATTTGCAGGACTCCTGGGTCCATCTGAACCCTAGTGTCCTTGTACCAGCAAATGGGAGCTGGAGAGCTGGTGTAGGGTATCCCAACTAGCAGCCAAAACACCTCTGGGAGATTCTGGCATTTTCTAGGATGAGATGAGCCCATGTGCCCTAGGGTCAGGGGAACATGGACCCCTCAAGAACTCGGGCCTGGGACCTAAGGTTGGGCAGGTGAGGGAAGTGAAGGGGGTACACATGGGTGTAGACAGCTGCCTCTCCACCACATAGGCCCTTCAGCCACAGGGACAGGGACCCCAAGGTCAAAGAAGTCAGGTCCCCTTGCCCATCTCCAGAAGACAGAACTGACCCTTGAGCAAGCCACCTACGCTCAGAGCAGTGGGGAAGAGTCAACTAACTGCTTAGTGCTCATGACTCCCACTACCAACTCCCCCTGCACTGTTCTAAACACTTCTGCTTTTTTGTTAAGACTCCTCAGATACGGCAA